ATCACAGCACTTTGGGTGGCTGAGGCAGGCAGAGGCCAGTAGTTCAAGATCAGCCTGGCCAACCTAGCAAAACCCTGCCTCTAACTAAAAATACAAAAATTAGCTGGGTGTGGTGGTTTATGCCTATAGGCCCAGCTATTCAGGAGGCTGAGTCAGGAAAATCACTTGAACCCAGGAGTCAGAGGTTGCAATGAGCAAAAATCACACTACTGCGCTCCAGCCTCAGCAAGAGAGAGAGACCCTGTCTCAAAAAAAAAAAAAAAAAAAAAAAAAAAAAATCAATCATACCTAATGACAATTCCATTTAAAAAATAAAAACAAAAAAACAAAAACAAGATCGCAGAACTTCTAGATAGCTGAATATGTGGAAGTTCCCTCCTGAAGGGTGCCACCCCGAAGATGACATGGAAGCTCTGTATTCCTTATCTCATACCTCCCCCTATGCATCCCTTCAATCTGGCTGTTCAACTGTATCTTTTCTAATATCCTTTGTAACAAATGGGTAAGTACAAATAAAATGTTTCTGAGTTCTAGCAAGTTAATCAAACCCAGGGAGGGGGTTTTGTGAACTCTGATTTATAGCCAGTTAGTAAGAAGCATCTGAAACTTGCAATTGGGATCTGAAGTGGAGGGCAGTCTTGTAGTATGAGGCCTCAATCTGTAGAGACACTATCTCTACAAATACAGTGTCAGAATCTGAAGTGGATGACAGATATCCACATGGTGTCTGCTGGAGAATACACAGAACTGACTGCTAGCTCTGTAGGAAAACAAATACCACAAATGTGGTATCAGAAATATCGTGCTGAGTAGAGAGCAGACAGTGGGCAAAATGCATCTTTGGTTTTCCCTATATCACTATAGCAGCTTTACTCATAACTGGCAAAACTTGGAAATAATCAAGATAGCTGTAGGTCAACGTTGTACATGTGGAAGGATATGGAGGATATGGGAAATCTTGGTACTTTCCATTCAATTTTTTAGTGAGCCTAAAACTGCTCTAAAATATTAAGTCCATAAATTCTTAAAGAGTTAACACAGGTGGTCTGGGCACAGTGGCTCATGCCTGTAATCCAAGCACTGTGAGAGGCCAAAGCGAGCAGATCATGAGGTCAGGAGTTCGAGACCAGCCTGGCCAACATGGTGAAACCCCGTCTCTACTAAAATACAAAAATTAGCTGGGTGTGGTGGCATGCACCTGTAACCCCAGCTACTCAGGACGCTGAGGCAGGAGAATCACTTGAACCAAGGAGGCAGAGGTTACAGTGAGCCAAGATCACGCCTCTGAACTCCAGCCTGGGCAACAGAGTGAGACTCTGTCACCAAAAAAAAAAAAAAAAAAAAAAGGTGGAACATTATTCAGTACTAAAAAAAAAAAATGAACTATCAAGCTATGAAAGATAGAGGAAATGCATACTACTAAGTAAAAGAAGCCAGTTTAAAAAGAGATGGTCTGACAAGTATATACTATATGATTGCAATTACATGATATTCTGGGAAAGGCAAAACTATAGAGAAAATAACAAGTTCAATGGTTGCTAAGGGTCCAATGGGTTGAACAGGCAAAGCAAAGACAATTCTTAGGGTAGTGAAACTACTCTGCATGATACTATAAAGGCGGATACATGCCATTACTAATTTGTCAAAACCCTTAGAATTTACAACACCAGGAGTGAACCCTAACATAAACTATGGGCAGAAATCATTCTTTGCTTTTGTGTCCCCAGAATTTAACACAGTCAATGTTTGATGTTTTGTTGAAGACGCTCATCTGTAATGGAGGGACTCAATGTTCATTAGTACAGATTTGGTGGTAGAAACAAAAAAATTGAAGAAAAAATAAATAGAAAAAAATATAAATGGAAAGAAAAAGAATAAAATGGAAAGAAAAGAAATGATGCATCAATGAAACTTAATAGTAACTATTATTTGGTTGGCCTTTTCAAGGTACACATATATACAGAAAGAAGAGACCTCTTTCTTCAATTAACGAAAGAAAAAGGGTTCCTTCATATTTTATTTTTTCCACAAAGGCCTCTTAACCACAGATGAAAATTTAGGTACAAATAGAAATACAAACTACCCCCTGCTTCTACCAATCTATCATTAAAACCATCCAGAAAGTTTGGATTATAGAATAAAGACATGATTCTCATTCTCTGCCTATAAGACTGAGTGATATCTACTTCCAAGGTCATCTTAATTGTAAGGTCAGTCAGATTTTTAATAAGCAAATAGAATTTACTTCTTAAGAGTATGTTTTCAATCTATAAATTCATTTAAAATGTTACTTTTATTTATTTACTCGAACACATACTAATTTTAATAATTATTATTAAAAGCATAATTTTCTTTGTCTAGTGTCTATAGAAGAATTAGGATGAATATGTTATGGTTTGGAAAAATGTGCCTATACAAAATGCTATGCATAAAAAATTGAATCATTGAAAGATCCAAGGTAAAAAAGAAATACCTTTGCTAAAGAAACATTTTATTATCATATCTGTTGTTTCTTCTAAGCCTCACCATTTTATTTGCTCTCTGTATCTATCTGATAAAAGTTTATCTCATATTATTTATCATACTCATTTTGTATTTAAGATTTTTCTTGTATTCTTTTATGAATTGCTCTCATTTATTAAAATCAGATTTCTCAAGAATATTTCAATTCCTCACATACTTCAAAATACTAGTATAATTTTTAACAACCTCTTTTACATACCCTTCCAAATATTAATATTTTTATTTGCCCTTGCACACTGACTTGGAGAGCCATCTACTGGCCTGATGCTGTGTCAAAAGAACATGTGCTTCATCTTTTAGATACGTATTTTTTTACCTGCTTTCAGTCATGATAATTACATAATTAAAGTAAAGCCTTTATTCAGAATGACAGAATGTTAAAGAGAAACTGAATGGTTCTACCAAAATGCTGTTATTAAACCCAGATACACTACTTCCATAGTATAGAAATACTATTTTCAAATATCTGTATGCTATTAATTCTCAGTAGTGCACCATAAAGCCTTGCTATCATGTGCTAGAAGTCCAAGATGAGACCAAATTATAAAAAGGCATTTTGAGCTATTCATAACTAAAGTATAAAAGGCAAGTTGGAATCTCTATGTTAAGTGCCTCTGAGTTATTTTCTCATCAATATTTTCTGACTTTAATATACCAATGTCTCTAGTATTTATAAACAATACGTTTGAAGATATAATGAAGAAAACAATTCCCCTTAACTTAAAATATAGGAATAAAGGCCCTAATGAAGAGAATACCACCACCACCAAAAATCCACAAATATAAGTATATACCACCACAAAATTATCAGCCCTCACCTTAGATCCCAGTAAGTATGCCAACAGTCTGTTTTCTTTTCGATATAAACAAATCAATATAAAGTTCATATCTTTAAAAAAATGCAAATAATGTTTAAGGAAAGCCCTTTAAATAAATGAGTAATAATTAGGGAACGTAGCCATTGCAGTCATATAAATTTTGTTATCAGGCCTCACAGACTCTGTATCTGTGTTCCACTTAGACTATACTCTCCTTATGGGCAAAATTAACCTCATTTACATTTCTATTCATTTACATTTTTTCATACATTTCTATTCATTTACATTTCTATTTACTGTCTAACGTACAGTGAATGCAAATAAATTTAGAAGAAACAGACAAACTTGTTTTCCTATATGGTCTCTCTCTCTGTAAGTTTTGAGATCCATGAAAGCAGGAACTATTTTTCATTTTTGTGACATCAAAATTTAGCACAGTAGATGTTAACTCATTGTTTGGTTAAATAGGCTCATTTGTAAAGGTGAGATGCATTTATAAAATACTCATTAGAATCAGATTTCATGGTAGAAAAAATTAAATAAAGGAAAAATAATAATATAAACAGAAAACATTATGACAAATTTGGAAAATGTATTTTCAAATTAAATTCTAGACAGAAAGGTAATTTCCTTCATATATAAAGGGTTCCAAAAAACAATAATCCAAAACCTAACATAAAAAAAGAGCAAAGGATATGAAAAGACAATTAACGGAAAAAGAAATATGAATGGGCCTTTAAATTTATAAAAAGAAATATAAATTACTCTTAAGAGAAATACATATTAAAACCATATGACCATATGGAGATAAATCCCACCTGTCTTTTATATAAGACCTACTACTAGAAGGACAAAAATCCAGAAGTTTAATAACACACTCTGTTAGCATGGCTGAGGGTTGAGGAGGGGGACAGTAAGGGTTTTTATACACTGCTCTCCTACAGAGCAATTTGACAGTAACAGTAAAAATCACAAACTCATACAACACCTAGAAATTTAACTTACAACTCAAATTTTGATGAGTACGGGACAGGTAGAATAAATTATGCTATCTCCATAAAATGAAAAATTAAATAGCTGCAAAACCAAAGGAAAGGGGTGTTATCTAAGTAATGATAGGAAAACAATCATTGTGTTTTACACAATTTTTATATAATATAAAGAAAAAAAGCAAGATGCCAGATAATGTACAATTCTTACAGTAGAATAAATTAGGCTATCTCCATAAAATGAAAAATTAAATAGCTGCAAAACCAAAGGAAAGGGGTGTTATCTAAGTAATGATAGGAAAACAATCATTGTGTTTTACATAATTTTTACATAATATAAAGAAAAAAAGCAAGGTGCCAGATAATGTACAATTCTTACACTTTTTAAATGTAGAAGAAGGATAAAACACATTTGTATCTGCTTGTGATATACATCAACTCCAGAAGGATACACCAGAAACTGACAGTAGTTCCTGTATGTGTGTAGAGAGTGGTGTGCAATCTGGACAGATGGAAGGCTGTAGGTGGACACCTTTTAACATATATACAAATAAATGTAAGTCATGTGAATACATTAAATTGATTTAAAATTTCCTTATATTACAAGATAAGTATATTATTAACACAAGCTTTACTACGAAAACAACTGCAAAATTCTCTATAATCTTACCTCCAAACTAGGCACATAAGAATCCCCAGAATTTACATAATGTCCTAACACAGCATGTTGAGCCCATAATTCATTATTCCTTATCCTCTCATGCAGGTGAGTAATTTGTTGCTTCTGCCTGCAAAACACAAATTAAGGTCACATTATAAGTAATACTTTTCTAATAGAGAGAAGAACCTTAAGTAGCCTAATAATTTTACATTAGAATATAAAAGTATTATCAATTTAAAAATCATAATAGAAAATCTCTTTAAAACAAATACCATGTAGGGAATTAGGTAAAAATTTATACTGTAGAGTACTGCTACAACGTAGTCTTTTGTAGAATATTCCTTGTAGATTATAATAGTCACACCTTGCTTTCTTCAACAATTCATAGCTTGCTTAAGCAAGTTATTTAATTTCTGAAAATATGTATGCTTACAAGCTTTAAAACTGTGTCAGGCACGATACTAACAGCTTTGTATGCAGTATCTCTCATCTTCAAAAGTTTAGTAAGTCTCAATGAAGTTTTGAAGGAGAGCTTTTAAAGAATAAAAGAAAAACAGTATGAGTAAACAAACAGCTCGATGTTTTCCAAAATTACTTACAAAGTAACTTTTGGAACAAGTAGGTTGTATGTTTAAGGCTGAATCAAAAGACCTTGTTCCTCTCAGAATCATTTTTTTGAAATTTGCTAACCTTTAAGAAAACCCATATGTAAAACACTAAATAGGAGGTAAGTTAGAAGAGATTAGTCATATAACACTTCAAATAATTTAAAGCTGTACAAAAAGAAAAAAAAAAAAAAAAAAAAAAAAAAACAACCATCCTTTTCCAGCCAAGATGGAGTAGCAGGCAGGGACTAGTTTTGCCCTCCTGACTGAAACAATTTTTTTAAAAAGACAAAATACAGAAAATGAAGACTCTCAAGGCATTGGCCATCAGGCAATTGAGAACAGTAATCTCTCAAAGATAGGTAACTAATGAGGTGGGCCCTATGATGGGCTGGAAGTATTTTCAAGCCCCAGCACAAGAATGGTGGTCTCCCTGAATTGAAGAGATAAAGCTGAGAATCTGGGGAACCAAGGCAACTGTAATTAGTTCACAGTACTGGATGACCCTTGGGAGTATGGCTGAATGCTAATTAATACAGACATGAGGAAACTACTGAAGGTGTGTATAGAGTGGAAGGGCAACCAAAAAAAGATTAGAGGGAACAGTGCTTCAGGGTACGGTGGAATTACTGGCTATTCCCAACTGCCAGAATAAAAAGCTTCATGATTCCCAGGGCATCAGCAATTCTCAAATGGGGGCAATTTTGAAACCAGTGAAATAGTAGCAACATCCGTAGACATTTTTGATTTTCACAATTGGGGCAGAATGTTACTGGCATCTAGTGAGTAGAAGCCAGAGATACTACTAAATGACTACAATGAACAGGATAGTGACCCTCAACAATTAAATCTGATCCAAAAAATCAACAGTGCTGAAGCTGAGAAACCCAAGGTTTGTAAGAGAAGTCTTGTTTCAATGGGGCAAAAGCCCTTTATAAAACAGCTCTAATGCCACCTAACAAAACTTAAAAACAAAAACTGATTCCCAGAATAAAGCTCAGGAATACAAAAATGTAACATCAAAAACAAGTTAAAATTCATAATGGCTGACATCAAAAAATGATCAGTAGTACAGAAAAATATAACTCACAATAAGAAAATCCAACCAACTGAAAGTGAGCTAGAACGGACATAGATGTTAGAATAGACAAGGATAGTAAATCAGTTATTATATTCATATGTTTAAGGAGAAGAAAGATTGAATATATGAAGTAGAGACATACAAGACAACATACTGAATGGTGATTAAAAGATTAGACATTACAGCACAAATGTACAGTGAATTTTAAAACAGCAATAGAAACTATCCAAAAAGAAACACATAGAGAAAAACAAACAAACAAATAAAAAAGCTCAGTGAGCTATGAGATTATCATAAGAGACCAAATATATGCATAATTGGAATCCCTAAAGAGGAGGTAAGAAGGTGCAGGGGTTGGGAGGAGGGGGCAGAAAAAAATATTCGTAGAAAACAGGCCAGAATTTTTCCAAATCTGATGATAACTATACTCCTACAGATTCAAGAAGCCCAGTGAGTCTCAAATAAAAGACGAAGACAACTAACCCAAGGTACATCTAAATCAAATAGATTACAGTGATAAAATCTTATAAGCAGTCAGAAGGAAAAAAGATAAATCCATTCAAGGAGACAAAGATAAAGAGGATGGCAAATTTCTCAACTGAAATAATATTATCAGTAAGACAATGAAGTATTTTAAATACTACAATTTAAAAGCTCTCAATCTAAAATCTTTGACATAAGAAAAATTTTAAAAACAACATAAAGAGCATACAAAAAAACCCATTAACCTATAATACTTTACTCATGGAAAATATTTTTTTAAAGGTGAAATAAATATCTTTTTGGGGGGACTTAAAAGCTGAAATAATTCATCCAACCCCAGACTTCAACTACAAGAAATGATAAAGGAACACCGTCAGGCAAAAGAACAATATGCCAGGTGAAAACCTGAATTTACAGAAAAGAAAGAAGAATTCCAGAAATGATAACCACATGGCCAAATACATAAGATATTTTTCTTATTATTTAAATCTCATTAAGAGATCGTAAATTACGTAATGAGAGACAAAAAATATAATTTATATCCAGGTTGTATAACCTTTGTAGATTAGAATGTATGACAAAATAGCTCAAAGGCTAGAAGAGGAAAAAAAATTGGAGTATACTTTTCTTACACACATTATACATGAATTACTTGAAGAGAGACTGCTATACTTTAAAGAAGTGTATTATGAATGCTAAAGCAATCATTATAACAATATAACAGAGTTGTAGCTAATATTACAATAAAAGAGACAATGGGAATTATAAAAAAAAAATTCAATTAGTTCAAGAGAAGGCAAAGGGGAACAAAGAACAGATGGGACAATTAGAAAAAAAAAAAAAAAAGGCCGGGCAAGGTGGCTCACATCTGTAATCCCAGCGCTTTGGGAGGCCAAGGCGGGCGAATCATAAGAGTTCAGGAGTGCAGACCAGCCTGACCAGCATGGTGAAACCCCATCTCTACTAAAATCACAAAAATTAGCCAGGCGTGGTGATGGATGCCTGTAGTCCCAGCTACCTGGGAGGCTGCAGCAGGAGAATGGCTTGAACCCAGGAGGCGGAGATTGCAGTGAGCAGAGATCGCGCCATTTCACTCCAGCATGGGCAACAGAGCAAGACTCCGTCTCAAAAAAAAAAAAAAAAAAAGGAGAAAACAACAAATAGCAAGATTAGAAATTTAAACTTGACCATATCAATAATCATAACATGTAAATGGTTTAGATACTCCCAATCAAAAGGCAGACATTGTCAGAATGTATAAAAAGTAGGACCTAACTATACACTATCTACAAGTAAGAAAATCATTCTGAACATAAGAACACAAACAGGTTAAAAGTAAAAGGAGGAAAACCAGTGCTAAAAATAACCAAAAGAGAGCTGGAATAACTATATTAGTCAAAGCAGACTAATATTAATTTTTTTCTATTTTAGAGACAGGGCATTGCTGTATCACTCAGCCTGGAAGGAAGTGGTGTGATTGCAGCTTACTGCAGCCTTGAACTCTTGGGCTCAAGCCATCTTCCTGTCTCAGCTTTCCAAACAGCTGGGACTATATATAGAAACCACCATGCCCAGCTAATTTTTAAAATTAATTAATTAATTAATTTTTTGGTAGAGGTGAAATCTCTCTACATTGCCCAGGCTGGTCTCAAACTGCTGGCCTTAAGTGATCTTTCCACTCAACATCTTGGTGTCGGGATTACAGATGTGCACCATCTTGCCAGACTGTTAGAGCAGAGAATGTTACCAGGGACAAAAATTACAACTTAATAATAATAAAAGGATCAATTCATTAAGAAGCCATGACATTTGGGCCTAAGAGTGCAGCGTCTAAATACATGAAGCACAAAACTGATAGAAAAGCAGAGAAATAGACAAATCCACAATTATAATTGGATATTTTAACACCTGGATCTCAATAATTGATGTTAACAGAACAAGTAGACAGAAAGTCAGGAGAATATAAAAGACAAAAACACTATCAACTGATTTGCCCTAAAAGGAGTTCCTAGAATACTCCCCACAAAAGTCAAAAGCAGAATACACATCCTTCTCAAGATAACTGAAACACTTAAAAGTAGATGATCTTCTGAGCCATAAAACAAGCACCAATAAACTTAAAAGAACTCAATTCATATAGAATATATCCTCTGACCACAGTGAAATTAAATCGGAAAAGAATTACAGACAGAACTCTAGAAAATCCTGAAATATTGGTAAACTATATAAAGTAACTGTAAATACCCTAAGGTTCAAAGAAGAAATCAAAAGATAAACTAAGTATTTTGAAGTGAACAAAAATGAAAACCAAATGAATTAAAATTTTAAAAGATTGGTAACTAAGAACTTAGAGATTTATTATACTAACTGCCTATACCAGAAAAGAAGAAAGCTCTCAAATTATCTCAGCCTCCAATTTAAGAAGTTAGAAAAAGAAGGGCCAGGCATGGTGGCTCACACCTGTAATTCCAGCACTTTGGGAGGCCAACGCAGGTGGATCATGAAGTCAGGAGTTCAAGACCAGCCTGGACAACATGATGAAACCCCGTATCCACTAAAAATACAAAAATTAGCTGGGTGTGGTGGATTGCGCCGGTAATCCCAGCTACTTGGGAGGCTGAGGCAGGAGAATTGCTTGAACCCAGAGGAGGAGGTTGCAGTGAACCAAGATCATGCCATTGCACTCTAGCTTGGGTGACAGAGCAAGACTATGTCTCAGACCAAAAAAAAAAAAAAAAAAAAAAAGTAAAACTCTGTCTCAAAAACAAAAAAAAAAGAGAAGTTAGAAAAAGAAGAACAAATGAAACTCAAAGTAGAGTTTCTGAAGTATTTAAATAGCCCTATGTATATCACAGAAATTGAGTGTGTAGTTGACCTTCCGATAAAGAAAAATTTAGGGCCAGAAGTCTTCACTGAAGAATTCTGCTGAAAGTTTAGGAAATAAAAAGACCTGTTGTACACAATGTGTCCCAAAAAGCAGTGAATAATTCCCAACTCTGAGGCCAGCCTGACCAATACCTAAATCAGATAAATACATTACAAGAAAAGAAAAATGCAGACCAATATCTCTTGTGAATATAAATGTAAAAATTCTTAACAAAAAGTTATCAAATAGAATCCAAAGATATATAAAAGGAAAATACATTATAACCAATGGAGTCTATCCCAGGAATTCCATGGTAGGTTTTACATCTGAAAGTCCATCAGCTACCTAGAATAGAAGGAATTCCCACAATCTAAAAAATGGCAACTATGAAAAACAGCTAAACATCACCCTTAATGCTAAAAGACTGAAGACTTTCCCCTGGAACAAATCAGGGACAAGAGAAGGAAAAGGATGTTTTACTCTCACTTCTCCTATTCATCACTGTATTGGAGGTTCTATTTACTTCAATAGAAATCAAGAAAAATAAATAAAAGAACTCTATATTGAAAAAGAAAAAGTAAATCCATCTTTAATCATGAACATCATGACTGTCTATGCAGACAATCGTATTGAATCTACAAAACGAAACACCTACTTGAACTAGTGAGGTTAGATTGCAGGTTACAAAACTAATTTTATTTATATGTATTTAAAAATGTTCTGAAAATATACAGTTTTAAAGTTGGCATAACTCACATTTATGGGTACAATATGTATTTAGATACATGTATACAATATGTAATGATCAAATTAGGGTAATTAGCATATCTATCACCTCAAACATTTATCATTTCTTTGTGCTGTTAATATTCAAATTACTACTCTCTTCTAGCTATTTGAAAAAAAAAATACAAGTATTGTTTATTAGTTACCCTACAGTGCTATAGAACACTAGAACTTCTATCTAACTGTAACTCTCTATCCATTAAACCAACCTCTCTGTATCCGATACTTCCCTCTACCCTTCCCAGTATCTGGTAACCACTATTCCAATCTCTACTTCTATGAGATAAACTTTCAAAAAATTTCATTTTTTTTTTAAGTAGTGAACCTCCTTTAGCCAGGCAGTTAAGGAGATTGAAGTGCAAAAGGTCAAGCACTTTACTCAATCACCTAAATGGTTATAGTGGCAAATAAAAAGAAAGAGAAATCAGGTTTCTTTTTTTTCTGAATTGTTCCTGAAGTTAGTCTAAATGCTTTTTCTCATTAGATGGAGAACATATAGAAACAGTTTCTATAGCAGTTATTTTTTCCATTTTCTCTGCTTCAACCTAATAATCCAGTCTTCTACTATAAAAGTTATATGCAGTATGAAAAAACACATTTTTTTCTCATGTAATTTCAGGTAACCTGGTATTTTCAGACGTAATATAAAACATAATTTTTAGTCAAATGATTTGGAAGGTATCATTGACAACTTATTTCCCTGTAAATAGTTCAGCAGGTTTGCTCTCAATTCCATTTAATTAGACATCAAATACCATGAAGTCTGTCTCTGAAATAGCCTCTACACATGTCATCAACATTTTAAAGGCCATTACTCTAATCAGCTTCTTCAAAAACAGAAATGCTATATATTTGGTTCTAATTTAAGCACTATATATATAGAATAGAATAGAAATTATATATATATATAATAGTGTGTGTATATATATATATATATATATACAGAAATTTTCGTATACAAAGATTTTTATTTTTAAGTGATGGTTATGCTGTTTTAGAAACAAAAGCTGCTAGTTTTTCTCCTGCTTTGTACAATATCAGATGCACTGATTATCAAAAACTTTAATAAACTCATAAAGAAACCAAAGATTATTTAAGATACTGGGTATAGAATATTTACTAAAATGCCTCAATTATTACCCTCCCTATATTACTAATACCTCCTGTCAACATGATATTGCTGTTTCTACTGTCCAGAAGTGAAGTCTACTACTACTAGCCTAGTGACTAACAGAATATAATGGAAGTGATGTTGGGACAGTTCTGAGTCTAAGCCTCAAGAGACTTTGTATGCTTCATTCTTTCTTAGAATCCCACCCCAGCCACCACTCAAACACACCCAGGCTGGCCTGCTAGAGGATGACAGAACACATGGAATAAGATAAGCCATCCTGCTGTGACCCATCTTTGGCCACCCAGCCCCTACCGGCTACCATAGATGCATAAATAAGCCTAGCTAAAGAATTAGCCAACTGAGCAACTTGAGTTATTTTGAATTATTCCTTAGTCTGCTTCTACAGTATACACAATTGAGAAATATATTTTTATTAGATTATGTCAATAATTTTCTGCATTTTCTATTAACTTATATCCAATGGAATGGTATTCAAAAAAATAAAAGCCAATTGATTTCCATTGTTTGAGGGAGGGCAAATTCACATAAATAAAACTGAATTTTAGTCTGTTTTTAAAAAGTATTCATTTCAAGTATATAAAATTGTAAGTATATTAAATTATAAATATTAAAAATACATTTCCAACTGAGCCTGTACTTATTCATATATAATATTCACTTATACTAAAAACAACTAATATTTTTAAGTAACTTTTTCCTAAAATCAATTAAAACTGTCTTCCAGAATCCTTCATTTATCAAGTATGGAGGTATCAAGTTTTAAGCATAAACAATGTGCCAGGCTCTCCTCAAAATGTTGGGAATAGGCTGTGCACGGTGGCTCATGTCAGTAATCCTAGCACTCTGGGAGACTGAGGGAAGCGGATCACTTGAAGCCAGTAGTTCAAGACAAGCCTGGCCAACATGGCAAAACCCTGACTCTTTATTAAATATACAAAACTTAGCCAGGTATAGTGGTGCCCTGTAATCCCAGCTTATCTAGAGGCCAAGGCACAAGAATTGCTTGAGCTGGGAGGCGAAGGTTACAGTGAACTGAGATGGCGCCATGCACGCCAATCTGGGTGAGAGAGCAAGACTCTATCTCAAAAAAAAAAAGAAAAGAAAAAAGAAAAAGAAAACAATTGGAGGACTATAGTGGAGAACAAGAAAGCCAAAATGTCTATGGTCTAGTTTATATTCCAGCACATCTTCATTAACATTGCTAAATTTCTAAGCAAAACCTTATGAAATTTCAACTACTAAATAGAATTTTAAGGCCAAAACACCTACTGCGTTATCCTCAGCAAGCACATGAAAATAAGTAATTATGAGCATTGATCAAGAAAAAAAGCCTCCTGGAATTATTTCCCAATTATACACAACGCATTTAATTATCCCAAGAGCATACATAAATGATGCAGAGCCAATATACATTAAAGAAAATATAATTACGTGACATGAAGGTTTACTGCTCATAATACTCAGGAAACTGTCTGTTAAGTATAAATGATTTTTTTTTCAGAGCTTAGGTACTCAAACCCTTAAACATTTTGTAATGTCCACCAAAACTGCTATAATTCTTAACTGTAAGTCATTTCATTTTAAACATTCATCATTTTTGTAGTTTCTGTGGCTTCAGACCTAGCATCTATTAAAGGAAATGACTGCTTTAAAGTAGCTTTCCAACTGGATAGTTCTCAAGGGTAAAACACAAAAACACTGTCTTGTAGCTCTAATAGCTCATTAGCATTGCAGCTAACCTGCTACATGTACAAAAAAAACAGACAGGAGTTTCCAAATAATGAAATAATTCATTACAGTGAATGGGAGGGATGACAGATAAATAAACCAACCATCAGTTCTGATAGTAGTTCTTGAAAGGATTGGGATTGAGGGGCAGAGATGTGCCATCAATGAATACGTAATTACAGTTCTAGATCTTAAATTCTATGCAGTGAACACAAAGCTAATTGTTTCATTAATCTTAATTTCTGTAGGCCTGAAATATTTAATAATTTTAAAACAGACTCACCGATCAATTACAATTTCTTTCTGCCTTAGAAGTCCTTCTTTTATTTTCAACATTGATTCCCACTTACTGAAATCCTGATAGCCAGAAGGTGAATAACTTTGACGAGATGATCCAGTTAAAACCTGCACAAACATGTTTATACTATTAGTGTATTAAAAGTATTTAAAGAAAATATTTATATACCATTTAATATTTTCCCAATCATTTACATTAAAAAAGAGAATTCCCTCTTTGATTTTTTTAATACTCTCAGAAATCACACTGTGAATACAACATAACTTGGACAATTTCAAGGAAGCTCTAAGGGACATGTACAAGTCTAATGAAGAATTAATGACAACAGAACGTTTATCCTGGCCAATTATGAAAACCACATCAGCTCTTATTCCCATTACCTTGTAGAATTTTTCCGAAAATGGGCTTAATCATTAAGGGAGTAATACAATAAAGGAATGTGCCATGGCTTAACTAGACAAACATTAGCAGGAGGGGGACTTTCCGCAAGAAAATAAAAGCAGTATCTGTAGTATTCAGATTTTGAGTTGACATGTATCGCATCATCATTTACTTACATTAAAATTTCAAAATACAAATACTTTCACAAAGTAGTGAGACAACCAAATGCCTAGGCAGATAAAAAGGGGTCCTTGCAGCATCTCTGACCCACCCCACAAATGCCCACATCAGATGCCTTTGTGCAGATGAGGAAGTCTGCTCAGGGCTTGTCTGGGATGCCCACAGTGGACTGGAGCCCAACATACACACTGAGGGAAATAGGTGGAGCCACAGGGAATTCCTGCATTATGCAGGGGAGCAGCCTGCTCTCTTCAGCTCATGTGGTAACCTGGGAATCAATCTGGGAGGTAGAGGGCCTGTTAGCAGGACTCCATCTTACTTTGGTGAGACTTTTTTTTTTTTTTTTTTTGCTTTTTTTCCTTTCTGCCCAACAAATTCCTCTCTAATCACCCTTGAATGTGTCCATGCACTTTCCTGGTTGTGTGACAAGAACCTGGTTTTTTCCTCTTTTGGTGGCCCATACAGGGACATGAAAAAGGCTGAGTCTAACAAGCAAACTAAAAAATCTTTCTTCCTTTTGCTTCTAAGCCTTTTTTGTTCTCAGACTTCTGAGGGTAGAGGAAATTATGCCTCCTGTCTAACCCATGTCATTCCCAGGGATTAGGAATGTCAGCCTTTTCCTTTTTTTTTTCAGATGGATGGGCGAACTGGAGGCTCCCCGGCTCCTAAGTTTCTCCCCTGATGGAGGAACCCATTGGCAAAGAATATGAGGTTCTTCTTCCAGGCATCTTTCCAACCCTGTACTTTAAACATTGTTTTCCTTTTCCCTACCCTGTCAGTCATTAACACAGCCCTGCACTTTAAGCTGGCTTTCTTTTCTCCACTAGGTAGGAGTTAACTTTTAAGCAAGGTTCCTCCCTCCCGCCAAAAAAAATGTTTTACTAGGCCAGGGATTGTTTATATTCTCTGCAAAGTTTTAATTATCCAAAAGAATTTCTGAGGTTCATCTTGAGCTGTAGCCAATTTGCTTTGCTTTGCATGTCTTTCTGCATGATCCACAGCAAACTTTGTACAGGCTTTCATCTTGTTTTACTTCCTTGGGAGCATGACATGTAACCATATGGCAATGCTTTGTTTAGCCTCTGCCATTTTACAATGGTGGTCAGGATTCAATCTTGGCTTAGGGAATGAGTTCTTTCTGGGCTGAAATCTGTGTGACCTTTGCTATTTGTTGATTCTCTTCGCCTTCACAAGCCACCTTAGATTTCCTTTCTCTGAAACTTTAGTAAAATTTGAAAGCCAGAAATATTGGCTACTTGGCACAGCTTAAGTTGAGTAACAAGGATGTTAAAAGAATTTTCTTGAGGCCTCTGGTAGCCAGACGGTCACCATGAAGTTCAATCCCTTCCAGCTATAGAGATGCTTCGTGACCTTGGACTGCAACAAAAACCGAAAACATCACTTTGATGTCCCCTCGTACATGTGCAGAAAGATCACATCATCCCTGCTCTCCAAGGAGCAGCGACAGAAGTACAACGTCTGCTTCATGTCCATTTGAAAAGACGATGAGGTCCAGGTAGTTCGAGGACACTACAAAGAGCAAATTAGCGAACCCAGGATTGAAGCTCTCGCTGGACGCGCGAAGAGGGTGACTCTGGGAAGCATTTCCAGACGGATCTTAGTTGCCCACAGAACGGGGAAATTCCCAGGTATAAAAGAGACGCGGGACGCCAGGCAGAGGTCTCCGCTGACACCGCCGGGCGGCACCGGAGCGCAGAGGCGATCCACAGCGCTCCATACAAAAGCGCACTGTTACGGGTGCCCTGTTGAACGGGCAAACTGAGACCCGAGAGGGCTGAATTTGAGACTGAACAGGTCTTGAACTGTGACCCAGCCCAGGAAATCCCAGGGACTCAGCGTTTGGGGGAGCACAGTGCGACAAACAAAACGGCGATCCCAAACGCTCCTGGTGAAAAGCTTTTTTTTTAAAGCTCAGCTCCGTGGGGGAGGGGCATCAGCCATTACCGAGGCAATCAGCCCCTACTGAGGTACACGCCCATTGCTGACCCAGCCTGCCGTTGCCAAGACAACCTGGTACAACAGAGAGACTCCGCCCAGGGCGAAGCCCATGACAACAGGGCGGAGACCACAGGAGAAGGGCGGAGCCTGCAGCAAAAGGGCGAACCTCACACCAGCAGGGCGGAGCCTCGGCAGGCAAAAAGTGACTAGACTGCCTCCTAGCTGGGCAGGACAGCTAGGCGGAAACTCACAAGGAAAGCCCAAACCCCCCCACCCCACAGGCAGAGCATCTGAGGAAAAAAAGGGGTTTTCTTACGAGTTAGGTTGCAGCAGAACTAAACATAGCAGCCTAGCAGCCCTGAATGAACAGAGCTCACGGCTCAGCACTTGAGCTCCTACAAAGTATAGACTGTCTCCTCAAGCAACTCCCTGACCCCTCTATATCGACAAGACTGACATTTGGCAGACATCATCCTGGGACAAAGACAGCAGAAAAAGAAACTGGTAGCATCCCTCGCTGTTCCGCAGCTGCTACAGGTGCACCCCAGACAAGCAAGGCCTGGAGTGGACCTCAGCAGTCGTACAGCGAAGGGGCTAGACTGGTAGAAGGAAAACCAAGTAACAGAAATACTCCATCATCAACAATCTGGGTGTCCACTCAGAGATCCAATCGAAAATTCAGCAACTACACAGACGCCAGGTGGATAAATCCACAAAGATGGGAAGAAACCAGCGCAAAAAGGAGGAAAACACCCAAAACCAGAACACCTCGCCACCTAGAAAGGACCAAAACTCCTCACGAGCAAGGGAACAAAGCTGGACAGAGAATGACTGTGACGAAATGATGGAATCAGACTTCAGAAGGTGGATAATGAGAAACTTTTGTGAGCTAAAAGAACATGTTTTAAATCAACGCAAAGAAACTAAGAACCTTGAAAAAAGATTTGAGGAAATGATAACAAGAATGGATACCTTAGAGAGGAATATGAATGAATTAAAGGAGCTGAAAAACACAATACGAGAACTTCGCGAAACATGCACAAGTTTCAATAGCTGAACTGACCAAGCACAAGAAAGAATATCAGAAGTCGAGGATCAAATCAATGAAATAAAATGAGAAACCAAGATCAGAGAAAAAAATGCAAAAAGGAATGAACAAAGTCTCCAAGAAATGTGCGACTATGTGAAGAGACCTAACCTACGTTTGATAGGCGTACCAGAATGTGATGAAGAAAATGAATCCAAGCTGGAAAATACTCTTCAGGACATCATCCAGGAAAATTTCCCCCACCTAGCAAGACAGGTCAACACTCTATTGCAGGAAATACAGAGAACACCACAGAGATATTCCGCAAGAAGAGCAACCCCAAGGCACATAATCGTCAGATTCAACAAGGTTGAAATAAAGGAGAAAATACTAAGGGCAGCCAGAGAGAAAGGTCGGGTCACCCACAAAGGGAAGCCCATCAGACTCACAGCAGATCTCTCGGCAGAAACTCTACAAGCCAGAAGAGAGTGGGGGCCAATATTCAACATCCTTAAAGAAAACAACTTTCAACCCAGAATTTCATATCCAGCCAAACTGAGCTTCAGAAGTGAAGGAAAAATAAAATCCTTTGCGAACAAGCAAGTACTCAGAGATTTTGTCACCACCAGGCCTGCTTTACAAGAGCTCCTGAAAGAGGCACTACAAACAGAAAGGAACAACCAGTACCAGCCATTCCAAAATCACACTAAATGCTAAAGAGCATCAACATAATGAAGAATCTAAAACAACTAACGGGCAAAACAGCCACTTAGCATCAAAATGGCAGTGTCAAATTCACACATAACAATATTAACCCTAAATGTAAATGGACTAAATGCACCAATCAAAAGACACAGACTGGCAAATTGGATTAAAAGCCAAAACCCAGCAGTGTGCTGTATCCAGGAAACCCATTTCACATGCAAGGATACACAAAGGCTCAAAATAAAGGGATGGAGGAAGATTTACCAAGCAAATGGAGAGCAAAAGAAAGCAGGAGTTGCAATCCTCGTCTCTGATAAAATAGACTTTAAAGCAACAAAGATCAAGAGAGACAAAGAAGGCCATTACATAATGGTAAAAGGATCGATACAACAAGAAGAGCTAACGATCCTAAACATATATGGACCCAATACAGGAGCACCCAGATACATAAGGCAAGTTCTTAATGACTTACAAAGAGACTTAGACTCCCACACAATAGTAGTGGGAGACTTTAACACTCCACTGTCAATATTAGACAGATCAACCAGACAGAAAATCAACAAAGATATCCAGGGCTTGAACTCAGACCTGGAGCAAGCAAACCTGATAGACATTTACAAAACTCTCCACCCCAAATCCAGAGGATATATATTCTTCTCAGCACCACATCACACCTACTCTAAAATTGACCACATAATTGAAGTCAAGCACTGCTCAGCAAATGCAAAACAACTGAAATCATAAAAAACAGCCTCTCAGACCATAGTGCAATCAAGTTAGAACTCAGAATTCAGAAACCAACCCAGAACCGCACAGCTTCATGGAAACTGAACAACTGGCTCCTGAATGTTGACT